CTCATTGAGTGTGTGTCTTAGTGCCAGCATCGGTTTGTGGTGGTAAATAGACAGCGAGCGGTTTTGCTGATGTCAACGTTGTGAACAGAGTGCTCCATGGTGGCGGTGGGGGTTATGGTATGGAAAGGGAAAAGCACGGACAACGAACACAATAGCATTTTATTATGACCGTGACGAGATCCTGAGGCCCATTGTTGTTCCATTCATCCGCGGCCATCACCTCAGGTTCCAGCATGATAATGCACGGCCCAATGTCACAAGGATCTCTACACAATTCCTGGAAGCTGAAAATGTCCCAATTCTTCCATGGCCTGCATACTCACCAGACATTTCACCCATTGAGCATGTTTGGGATGGCTCTGGATTGACGTGTACGGCAGCGTGTTCCAGTTCCCGCCGATATCCAGCAACTTCGCACAGCCATTGAAGAGGAGTGGGACTTTAGTTTAGTTTAGTTTAATAATCCAACCATTTAAGAAAACAAGCATACATAAAACTTGAAAAAGCCAAAACATCGAGGATAACACACAATAAAGTCTGGGACTTATTTCCATTGTGGTACCTCTTGACATTTTACAGGCCACAATCAACAGCATGATCAACTCTATGCGAAGGAGATGTGTCGCACTGCATGAGGCAGATGATGGTCACGCCAGATAGTGACTGGTTTTCTGATCAATGCCACTTTTTTTTTAAAGGTATCTGTGACCAACGTATGCATATTTGGATTCCCAGTCATGTGAAATCCTTGGAATAGGGCAAACATATTTTTTTGCAATTTACTGATTTCCTTATATGAACTGTAACTCAGTAAAATCTTCGAAACTGTTTCATGTTGCGTTTATATTTTTCAGTTTATACAGTACATATTACAGTTGGAGTCGGAAGTTGACATACACCTTAGCCAAATACATTTAAACTCAGTTTTTCACAATTCCTGACATTTAATCCTAGTAAAAATTCCCTGTCTTAGGTCAGTTAGGATCACCACTTTATTTTAAGAATGTGAAATGTCAGAATAATAGTAGAGAGAATGATTTAATTCAGCTTTGATAGCTTTCATCACATTCCCAGTGGGTCAGAAGTTTACATACACTCAATTAGTATTTGGTAGCATTGCCTTTAAATTGTTTTACTTGGGTCAAACGTTTCGGGTAGCCTTCCACAAGCTTTCCACAATAAGTTGGGTGAATTTTGGCCCATTCCTCCTGACAGAGCTGGTGTAAAACTGAGTCAGGTTTGTAGGCCTCCTTGCTCACACACCACTTTTTCAGTTCTGCCCACACATTTTCTATAGGATTGAGGTCAGGGCTTGTGATGGCCCAGTCCAATACCTTGACTTTGTTGTCCTTAAGCCATTTTGCCACATGGTCATTGTCCATTTGGAAGACCCATTTGCGACCAAGCTTTAACTTCCTGACTGATGTCTTGAGATGTTGCTTCAATATATCCACATAATTTTCCTTCCTCATGATGCCATCTATTTTGTGAAGTGCACCAGTCCCTCCTGCAGCAAAGCACCCTCACAGCATGATGCTGCCACCCCCGTGCTTCATGGTTGGGATGGTGTTCTTCGGCTTGCAAGTCCCCCCTTTTTCCTCCAAACATAACGATGGTCATTATGGCCAAACAGTTCTATTTTTGTTTCATCAGACCAGAGGACATTGCACCAAAAAGTACGATCTTTGTCCCCATGTGCAGTTGCAAACCGTAGTCTGGCTTTTTTATGGAGGTTTTGGAGCAGTGGCTTCTTCCTTGCTGAGCGGCCTTTCAGGTTATGCCGATATAGGACTCGTTTTACTGTGGAAAAAGATACTTCTGTACCTGTTTCCTCCAGCATCTTCACAAGGTCCTTTGCTGTTGTTCTGGGATTGATTTGCACTTTTCGCACCAAGGTACGTTCATCTCTAGGAGACAGAACGCATCTCCTTCCTGAGAGGTATGACGGCTGTGTGGTCCCATGGTGTATATACTTGCGTACTATTGTTTGTACAGATGAACGTGGCACCTTCAGGCATTTGGAAATTGCTCCCAAGGATGAACCAGACTTGTAGAGGTCCACCAATTTTTTTCTGAGGTCTTGGCTGATTTATTTTGATTTTCCCATGATGTTAAGCAAAGAGGCACTGAGTTTGAAGGTAGGCCTTGAAATACATCCACAGGTACACCTCCAATTGACTCAAATTATGTCAATCAGCCTATCAGAAGCTTCTAAAGCCATGAAATACTTTTCTGGAATTTCCCAAGCTGTTTAAAGGCACAGTAAACTTAGTGTATGTAAACTTCTGACCCCACTGGAATTGTGATACATTGAATTATAAGTGAAATAATCTGTCTGTAAACAATTGTTGGAAAAATGACTTGTGTCATGCACAAAGTAGATGTCCTAACCGACTTGCCAAAACTATAGTTTGTTAACAAGAAATTTGTGGAGTTGTTGAAAAACGAGTTTTAATGACTCCAACCTAAGTGTATGTAAACTTCCAACTTCAACTGTATATAATTCATGGATTATGTCTCAAATACTCATAAAAGTGCGGTAAATATGTACATTTTCCTGTTTATAAAATATATTGTTCAAAACAAGCTTACTACTCTGCCCCTCATTGACTGCCAGCAGCAGCTCCACCTCCACGGGCCTGTAGGCCATGCGGTCGTTGCTGGGGTATTTTGCCTCCACGGGCCTGTAGGCCATGCGGTCGTTGCTGGGGTATTTTGCCTCCACGGGCCTGTAGCCATGCGGTCGTTGCTGGGGTATTTTGCCTCCACGGGCCTGTAGGCCATGCGGTCGTTGCTGGGGTATTTTGCCTCCACGGGCCTGTAGGCCATGCGGTCCGTTGCTGGGGTATTTTGCCTCCACGGGCCTGTAGGCCATGCGGTCGTTGCTGGGGTATTTTGCCTCCACGGGCCTGTAGGCCATGCGGTCGTTGCTTGGGGTATTTTGCCTCCACGGGCCCGTAGGCCATGCGGTCGTTGCTGGGGTATTTTGCCTCCACGGGCCCGTAGGCCATGCGGTCGTTGCTTGGGGTATTTTGCCTCCACGGGCCTGTAGGCCATGCGGTCGTTGCTGGGGTATTTTGTCTCCACGGGCCCGTAGGCCATGCGGTCGTTGCTGGGGTATTTTGCCTCCACGGGCCCGTAGGCCATGCGGTCGTTGCTTGGGTTATTTTGCCAGCTATTTGCTATGACGGGGGAACTGCTAGCATAAATTATAACAGCACAAAGACTGTCCCAAATGTGTGTTCTGTCAGAACTTTTGGGTCTGCTCTAATCTCCCTTTCATACTCAGCATCTAACTGACCTACATCTACATCATTTAGAAGACGCTCTTATTCAGAGCGACTTACAGTTAGTGAGTGCATACATTTTATTATTGATTTTTGTTGTTATTTTTTTCCCCATACTGGCCCCCCGTGGGAATCGAACCCACAACCCTGGCGTTGCAAATGCCATGCTCTACCAATTGAGCTACATCCCTACCGGCCATTCCCTCCCCTAATTGTGCGCCACCCCATGGGTCTCCCGGTCGCGGCCGGCTACGACAGAGCCTGGATTCGAACCAGGATCTCTAGTGGCACAGCTAGCACTGCAAAGCAGTGCCTTAGACCACTGCACCACTCAGGATTACATCTAGGATGTAATCATTAGTCCAAACAGTTGCAAATGAGAATGTCTATTGGACAAATTCAGGTATGTTTATCCCATTTTGTTCCGTTTGCTTCTGTTTAAGAAACATTTTTCAACAGAATCGGCGGAATGAATACACCCCTGATCACACGCCAACACAGTTCACTTTCATAGCAGCCACATAACAGCACGATCCCTTTGATCGTTGTATTGCTCCTCGCATCTACGCTCTCTCCTCCTCTCACCTTTTCCTTCACTTGTGGACAACAGTGCACAACGCATCAGCTGTCTGTGACCAGGCTAAAAAAACTTTCCAAGCCAAAACGTCATACCATAACCGCTAACCGCTACACACGGCCTACATCGTTGTCACCATATTAGCTAACATCATAGTCAAAATAACTACTAGAACTAACGCGTTATTAAACCCACTACAATCATGCAGTACAGTGTACAGTCAGCAAGCAGTTTAGCAGTTACACCAGCGGGCCCTGGTGGCCATAAATGTATAAAACCAAAAACTTACCTTGACTTGGAAGAGTTCCAGTGTTGGATAGCCTTAGCTAGCTAGCTAACATAGCATCCCTCTTTGTTTGACCTGGGTGTCTAAGTAGGCTAAACTAGATAGCTGCATTCGGTAGCTAAGTAAGTGAAAGTGAAAAAATGCATTCAATGAAATATAGCTCTCTCTTTCTCTCTCTCTTGCTTTTCCTACATTTCTGAAGAAAGTAATTAGTTCAAAACTGTTCAACTATTTTATTTCTCTCTCTTTGAGTCAACCACTTACCACATGTTATGCACTGTAGCGCTAGCTAGCTGTAGCTTATGTATTGAAGTCAATGTATCCAGAGGAGGACGGAAACTAGCTGTCCTCCGGCTACACCATGATGCTACCCTAGAGAGGGCTGTTGATGCTACTGTAGACCTTCATTGAATATATTTAATAGTGTTTTATCTAAAAAAGGATAACTTCTTAATGTTTAGTGTTTTTCTGAAATTCACTGAGGAGGATGGTCCTCCCCTTCCTCCTCTGAGGAGCCTCCACTGGTATACGGCGTATACCTGCGTATATAATCCACTACTGAATTAACGTTGTTTCCACGTCATTTCAACCCCCAAAATCAATGTGATGACGTTGAATCGACGTGGAAAACGGATTGGATTTGCAAAAAGTTATCAACGTAAGGGCATTTTGTATTTTTTCAACCAACTTTTAACCTAAATCCATATGCAGTAGACGTTGAACTGACACTGTGCCCAGCGGACGTTGAACTGACACTGTGCCCAGCGGACGTTGAACTGACACTGTGCCCAGCGGACGTTGAACTGACACCGTTGCCCAGTGGACGTTGAACTGACACTGTGCCCTAGCGGACGTTGAACTGACACTGTGCCCAGCGGACGTTGAACTGACACTGTGCCCAGCGGACGTTGAACTGACACTGTGCCCAGCGGACGTTGAACTGACACCGTGTCCAGCGGACGTTGAACTGACACTGTGCCCAGCGGACGTTGAACTGACACCGTGCCCAGCGGACGTTGAACTGACACCGTGTCCAGCGGACGTTGAACTGACACCGTGTCCAGCGGACGTTGAACTGACACTGTGCCCAGCGGACGTTGAACTGACACTGTGCCCAGCGGACGTTAAACTGACACCGTGTCCAGCGGACGTTGAACTGACACCGTGTCCAGAGGACGTTGAACTGACACCGTGTCCAGCGGACGTTGAACTGACACTGTGCCAGCGGACGTTGAACTGACACTGTGCCCAGCGGACGTTGAACTGACACCGTGCCCAGCGGACGTTGAACTGACACTGTGCCCAGCGGACGTTGAACTGACACCGTGCCCAGCGGACGTTGAACTGACACCGTTTCCAGCGGACGTTGAACTGACAACCGTGCCAGCGGACGTTGAACTGACACCGTGCCCAGCGGACGTTGAACTGACACCGTGCCCAGCGGACGTTGAACTGACCACCGTGCCCAGCGGACGTTTGAACTTGGGACAGCCTGTGTCCCAGCGGACGTTGAACTGACACCGTGCCCGAGCGGACGTTGACGGACACCGTGCCCTCTGACGTTGAACTGACACCGTGCCAGCGGACGTTGAACTGACACCGTGCCCAGCGGACGTTGAAACTGACAAACTGACAGGTGCCCAGCGGACGTTGAAACTGACACCGTGTCCAGCGGTTGAACTGACACGTGCCAGCGGACGTTGAACTGCACGTCCAACCGTTGAACGACACCGTGTCCAGCGGACGTTGACTGACAGACACCGTGCTCAGCGGACGTTGAACTGACCCCGTGCCAGCGACGTTGAACGACACTGGCCCAGCGGACGTGGAACGACACCGTGTCCAGCGGACGTTGAACTGACACCGTGTCCAGCGGACGTGAACTGAACCGTGTCCAGCGGACGTTGAACTGACCCCGTGTCCAGCGGACGTTGAACTGACACGTGTCCAGCGTTGAACTGACACCGTGTCCAGCGGACGTTGAACTGACACCGTGCCCAGCGGACGTTGAACTGACACCGTGCCCAGCGGACGTTGATCTGACACCGTGCCCAGCGGACGTTGAACTGACACCGTGTCCAGCGGACGTTGAACTGACACCGTGCCCAGCGGACGTTGATCTGACACCGTGCCCAGCGGACGTTGAACTGACACCGTGCCCAGCGGACGTTGAACTGACACCGTGTCCAGCGGACGTTGATCTGACACCGTGTCCAGCGGACGTTGAACTGACACCGTGCCCAGCGGACGTTGAACTGACACCGTGTCCAGCGGACGTTGATCTGACACCGTGTCCAGCGGACGTTGAACTGACACTGTGCCCAGCGGACGTTGAACTGACACCGTGCCCAGCGGACGTTGATCTGACACCGTGCCCAGCGGACGTTGAACTGACACGTGTCCAGCGGACGTTGAACTGACACCGTGCCCAGCGGACGTTGATCTGACACCGTGCCCAGCGGACGTTGAACTGACACCGTGCCCAGCGGACGTTGAACTGACACCGTGCCCAGCGGACGTTGAACTGACACCGTGTCCAGCGGACGTTGATCTGACACCGTGTCCAGCGGACGTTGAACTGACACCGTGTCCAGCGGACGTTGAACTGACACCGTGTCCAGCGGACGTTGATCTGACACCGTGTCCAGCGGACGTTGATCTGACACCGTGTCCAGTGGGTTGCTTCTAAACAAAGGTTAAAAACCCCACTGCTGCAATAATAGCACAAAAGCAATATAATGTAAATAATGAAATGATCCATGATTTCCACCATTTAAAAAAAAATACATATTTACAAAGATGTATTGATTAAACATCACATTTTCTACAAAGATTTAATTTAATAACTCACAGTACATTTTCTACAAAGTTTGAATAAGTCAACACAAAACAAAAAAAAAAAAGCTAAACAATACAGATGCAAACAGATGTTTCAGGAAGCAACAATATAAATAAACACGTGAGTACAACGTTACAAAAAACAGGAGTAGTACAATCGGCATAGAAGATCAAGTCACCTGCTATTGTAAGGCACGAAGGCGTTCTCCATAACCTAGTGATGAACGACATTCCACATGCACGCAGTAGTCTGGGCTACTGACAGCCAAGACAGTCGGACACGACAGCCTGACAGTAGTCTGTGCACTTATAAACCTGAGATCAGTCTGTCATGGCCATGGGCTCAGTGCTTGAATTAGACCTGCATCTACTGCTTATAAAGGCCTAAACATCAAATCATTTCTGGGTAACAATTAAGTACTCTGGTTGATTTCAATTAAAATGGTAAAAAAAAAAGAAACAGCTTGTCGTAATTTTCCACAATTTCACAGTATTATTCCAACCTCATAGTGTGGAAATATATATATAAAACAAAGGAACATCACGTTTTTGACTGCGCTGGGCCTTTAAGTACCGACGGCACATCTAGAATATTCACCCCTTAAAATATGGTAGGCTACACCAGTACTATTAAATTAAAATCAGTACCTAAAATGAGTAGCCTACCGGCACCTAAAATGAGTAGCCTACCGGCACCTAAAATGAGTAGCCTACCGGCACCTAAAATAAGTAGCCTACTGGCACCTAAAATAAGTACCAGCACCTTTTTCCCTTCCACTTCAAGCACTGCATGCCATAGGCCGACCGTTCCATTTAGGTTTCATCGATGGGGAATGGGTCGGACCATGGGAGGGGTCCAGGAAGACAGAAACAGGTCCCGCTGTAGATCCAGAGCCTTGGGAGGAAACACTCCACCTTCCAGCTATTCAAACCTCTGTTATACACCTCCACCTCCACGCCGTAGTCCCCCTCCCATGCCCTTCCAGTGACCCCCCGTCGCAAAGAGCTGACCGTCAACGCCCACAAGACCTCCGTTCTCATGGAGCATGTGGAGCGCTGGACCTGGGGGGGAATACACAAGGAGGAGAGGATTAATCAGTCCATCTCCATCTCTCGCCTCCATCTCTCCATATCATCCAT